ACTTCTCTTTTTTTGCTCCTCACGGAGTCGGAGGCTGCCTCAGGCAGAGCCCTCTTCCCTGCTCCTGCCCACCTCTCTCTCACGTCTGTACTTCGGCAGCTTCCTACGTCCTTGTGCCCTACACCTGCCGACAACATTAAAATACACGTCAGCGGGTACCACCCTGCCTGCTCTCTAAAGCTTTGGTTTCATTTGGTTGCCTTATGTACGGAGAGTTCTTCATTTCCACTACTTTTTGCTTTTTTTTTTTTTTTTTAATTCTCTTTTTTTAACCTGAGTATAACAATAGTCCAGGCTGAGGTGTTTTCTAGGCTTGTTAACACCTGGAGCATCCTGGGGTAAAATCACCCAAGAGAACAGCTTTCCCTTTCAGTGAGATGCTTCCAGTTGCAAATGTGCCTCCAGTTGTCAAGAGAAAAGGCAGGTGAGTGTATCCTTTCCAGACCAACGCCACAGATTTGTTGCGCAAGCGCTGTGTCTGTAAAAGGTTAAACCAGTGTTTTACCACCCCTGTTTTTTGTTGCTCTAGATATATGTACTTGTCTTTATGGTTTGGGGTTTTTTGGGGGGTTTATTTTTGTTGTTGCTGCCATGTTACTTTCCTAGCTGAGATTTGTAAGGCACAATATAAATGACAGTCATCTAATTGCGTAGTAAAAATTGTTGTTTTAAAGGAGAATGCGATTAAGCGCTATTGTTTGTAACCCCATTTAATTCATCTTGTAAAGAATACTTGGAGAGAGGTTGGCATGAATGTCCGCGCCAGCAGGAGGGACCCCTGCGCGCTGTGCTGAGGCTGTTCCACAGTGCGGCCACTAGAGGGCAGGGTTAGTCATTGTTCTCCATTCATTTACGGCGCGGACCAAAAACCCCCCAAACTCCAGCCACAAAACCTGGAGAAGTGTATACACGCCAGCGGGTTCTTCCACAGTAAGGTCATTTTGTACCACTCTAATCATCCTGGTGTCCGTTTCCACATAGCTGGAAAGGATTTTGCTCCCAGCAGCCGCGTTCGGTTAACGTGTCTTGGCTGCTTGTTAATTTTATAACGCTATTTTATACCTCTTCACTTTTCTTTGATGCCGATGCTCCTGTTTAAAGAGAATTAAATAGCAACACCTGACTACAACTCTGACAGTGCTAATGAGTTACCCAGGTGCTTCTGGCTTTGCAATTTGTCCTGCTTCCTGTTCCATACGTTTTAAGCCCCTCCATTCCTTATAGGGAGCTTGCAGAGGAAGAAAGGAGGGTACAAATAACGTGGCCTGAAGATGGGCATTCACTAACTGGATAGAAATAGGGGTTGAAATGTGAGTTCTGGAAATTGTTTCACGACGAACAAAGCTTTATGTGCTGTGAAGTTGTGTAGCAGAGCAGGTAAAGTGCTGGGCTGACGAGATTTTATCTCTAAAGTGTATCACTTGATGAAGCATTGTAGGTTGATTTGATGCATATTTCTATTTCTGGTTTTCAGTTTCTTTTAAATACAGAGTACAGTTGTTTTCTTCTTCAGAACAATATTGTCAAACAGTCAATGTAAGCAAAGCTAATCTAACAACAGCAACGTTTTCTTTTTCTCTCTTGTCTGGTATGTTCAAATCTAGTTATTTTAGTTATAATTACTGACTTTCAATTGAGGATATTTGTTCTAGCAAGCTGATGTCAATTGCTGTAAAAAAAAAAAACCACCTTGCACAGGGAGCAGTAATTTACAAGGAACAAAGCCTTGGGTTTTAGACAAGACTTGTAATTTTCCACTAAATGTTCTGATTTCTGGCATTTTGAGATTGGTTGCCCCATTGCAGTTGTGAAATAGCTGGTTAATAGTGAATTTGTGGTAACTCACGTTGTTTCATGGGAATTACTCAGAATTTGCAAGTGTCAGTTCAGTGGTTGTTGTGGTATATATGTCTTATTTTCCAGGAAACTTCAGGGAATGTAACCTTTTTCTCTTTTTTTTTTTTTCTTCTTTCCCTGATGTTGAATTTTGTGACCAAAAGTCTTAAAAAATTTGAAAAAATAGAATGGAAAGCCTGAAAGAGACAAAGCACTTAAGAGTTTGTGTGACCATAAGCAAAACAGTTAGTAATATGTTAAGAAAAATATATCTTTAAACGCTATTGTGAAAAAAAAGTGTGTTTGAAAGTTCTAGCTGTCCTGCTTTGAAAGATGCTACCTAATTAGTAGCAAACAAGTGAGCCAATAAATCCATTTAAGTAGGTCGAAATAGAAATTAATAAAGAGTATTCAACCTTTATGTTAAATGGTAAAGTATGAGGCGTAAGGGAAATCTTTAAAAGGACTGAGCTGGCTAATAATCTAAAATACAATGAAGATCTCCTTCAAGTAGTTGTGTTCAGGTGGCTGGGGGGTTGGTTTGGGTTTGGGTTGGGTTTTTATGATCTGGGGATACACGCTGGGATGTTGAATCAAAGCAATTACTCTTTTCCTGGTGTTACAGTTGTTATCATTTGCTGCCCAGAAGGAACTTCACAATTAATAGTCATTATGTAAAAATAGCTTTCTTTGTGTCAACATTTATTTTCATGGCTTGCACTGTGCTATTGCATCCTAGGGGTATTTAATGAACTTGAAATATTTTCTACAGTTTCCAAATCTTTCTGGCCCTGCGCTGAGACCATTGCTCTGTGTTTTGAGAGCAGCTCTATGTTTGCTTTTAGAAAAGAGACTCTTTGTTCGTATACAAAATGCAAATAAAGTGGTATGTTTTGATGGCAGACGTTTTTCTTGACTCAGGATGAGATTCTGTTCCTACTGAGGTAGCTACTGGGTGTTGACTTCAATGTAGGCAAAACTGGCTTTTGGTGGGGTGTCTTCTCTCAGGAATCTCGGTTATTTTTATGACCACAACACGTAGGAACTCTAGCTGTGGAGCAGGTTGCCATGATGATAGACTTGTACACATGCAGAACAAAAAGATCTTCCTGGTTGGGGGGTATACAGTTTGTAACATGTAAAACTGTGAGGAGAGAAAACCCAATGCTTTTTGGTATTATACATACTGCATGTGGCCATATCCCTCTTAATTACTTGAAGAGGCAATACATACAGACTAGAACAAATGCTTCAAAAGGTTCTGCATGCACAGATGGACTGTCATTTGCATTTATCTTTAGTTTACGTCTTGGGAAAAAATGGTTTCCAATGGATGTTTTTTTTCTTGAATCAAACTTCTCTGTACCAAAGCCCCTCTACTTCAGTGGGATTTGTGGACTGTGTAGAAAACCTTTGAGGAGACGAGCCTATTAGCACACATAATTACCAAACAAACAGTCTAATAACAGATGCACTTTGGATTGTCAGTGGCACCTGACATAAGAGTACAAGTTCCCTTGTCACTGAGGCACTTAGAAAAATCTGAATAATTTTGAATATGAATGTTTCTAAAAGTGGATGAATGACATTTAGTAGGGAGCTGGGTATTCACATATATATACATGTGCACAGAATACAATCTGTAGTTGACATTTATAATTTGACTAACTTATTTTGTGAAACATGGTAACAATTTGTGAAATTTGGCTGTGAACAATTAAGCTTTGATACTGGAGAATCAGTGTATTTGTCGGTCAGACCACGAGCTTTTTTTAACATGAGGGAAAGCTGCCCTCTCTGTTGTCCTTCACCTCCATATTGAGAAAACCCTAGCAAAACTTCTTCTACCTGATGCTGGGCTAATTATTTAAGGCTATTAAATTTCAATGATCATTGAATCAAATGAAGCCCTCTTGAAGAGAGATGGTTAGTAGCTGGGGTAAACCAGGTTGTTACATCTGAGCTCCAGGCAGGCAGATACAAAGCACAGAGAGAAGGACGTTGCTTGCCTGAGGAAGGTGATTAGAAGGAGACTTGCTAATGGGGAATTCAAAAGCATGAAGGTAGTCTCACAGGAGACTACAACACAGGAATGTGTTTTTACACCAGTGAAATCCTTTTCTATAATGCCTACCAAGGGGAAGGGAAACCGCAGAGAAGATGGAGAGAAAATACTGGGATTTGGAGAAGCCGTGTGTGGGTGAAACCAAAGTATGCTCTCAGAAGAGGAAGAAATTAACATTATTTTGTCACGATACTACACTTTTTTTTTGCACTTGCTAACATAAAGAGTTGCTGTGGTGCTTTTTTTTTTTGTAGGTTTCTTTTTTCCCCCTTGCATCCTTAGCAAAGGCTACGAGCTCAGTTCACTTGCCTAAACATACATGAGTTAGTGCCACTTGAGATGCCCTCCATTTTCCCTGTTCTCCACCTGCTGCTCCAGCAGTGCATGAGCCTTCTGTGTCTGGTCCATCAGCCCCTG